ATAATCGGTCCATGCATGTTCGAGATACAGGTGATCACGGACGCACGGACGGACGGACGGACGCACACAGGGCAAAACATAAGTCCCCGTTTTCGGACTGCGTCCGAACGGGGACTAATAATTAATAGTTTGTATAGTGCCTAATATCCATCATGATGATGTCCAATGACGCTGTCAGTTCACAGAAATGCTCTCTGCAACATATAAGTTTTGAGTTTAGATTTGAAAATGATAAACTGGCTGCAAAACGAATGTCTGTTGGTAAATGATTAGCATAACTTCTGTTTTTTCATAGTTCAGCTGTAGTTTGTTGTTGGTCATCCAATCTTTGATGTCAAGAAGGCAGTTCTCAGTTGTGGAAATAGCTGATGAGATAGAGCTCACACATAGAGACTAAACCATAATACTATTATATTAAAGTCCCTGTTTTGAACTTGGTCCAAGCAGAAACTGATAAATAAGCAGTGTTGATTTATTTTTAATTTTAGAATATAATATTGCAATATGTTCTCACCTCAATAGAGGATCTTTTAAATTGTTTTGCTTGAAGACTTCATCCAACCCGTATGTATACATAACCGTATTGATTGTAACATTACTGTCTCTTGGTACTTCATCTGAAATCTTCACCACACTAGATTCAGAACTTATTTTTTGTTTAAAGTATCTGTAAAACAATTATCATAGTTCAGTATCTCACAGAGAAGTGAACATGTCTGAATTAACGGTTTCATTGCAAGAATTTACCCTACTTTAATAATATTAATAAGAAGTTTTGCAATGGGGCTATCTTATACATGTGTAGGTAGATAGCACCCCGATGATGCAGATGACAGAAAATGCTGTATTAATAAGAAGTTACTTTAAAACAAGCAACCCATCTGTCAAGACAGCTCTACTGTCATGAAATTCAGATTGGTTTTTTAACTCAAATTACTTTAACCTTTTCACAAAATAGTAAAATTTTTTGTAGTGAAAACTGAAAGTTGACTCAAATTTTTGTCAAAGATGGTAATTACTTGTGTCATTTGAACAGGATGCTGGGAACTAGAAAATGACAATGAAGTCCAAACTTTATGCTCACTGACTGCATCACAAAAAGACAATGTTGTTAACTCTCTCACATTTCTTATGAAGAGTTGGTCTCTATGATCTCAGTGACATGAAGGATGTTTTATTCACAATAAACCATCAACAAACCATTTTATGTTCACTGCATTATCCAGAATTTTTGTGACATTAAAACATTGCATCATGGGATTTGATAAACACAAAATTCATTTGTTATGCATAATAATGTGCTATACACATTTGATGATTGTCAATTTCAATGTAGTAAGGGACGACGTCAAAAGATCGATGTCGGATAAAAAAACTTATTTGCTTAATAGTTTGGGGGTGGGGGTGGGAGGGTTGACCTCAAAAAGAGTTCATCCTACAAAAACGATTTTATTTTTTAAAGTCAAAACAATCTTGGAGTATTTGTAATTTGTTTTTTTTTCTATCCAATCATGGACAAAAATAACAGAAAATGAAAAAAAACATGGTTTGGTCTGAGTGTAAATATGTGCATCAAATGAGGTCAAATTCAGGGCATGGACCTAGAGCATGCGCAGAACCCAGAAAAGTAGTTTGCGCATGCGTATATTCCCCTTCATTATTACAACCAATTGCTATGCAATACTACTGTCCGATTATTAATTTGTATTTAATGGTGATTATAGCCTGATGCCATGATCAATATTTATCAATTAAGTTTCAGTGGGGTGGGGGTGGGGGGTAACTAAAGGAATTAAGTTTTTTATCCTACATTGAACTTTTGATGTTGTCCCTAAGGGTATCTCAAAAGCTTAGTATTCCCCTCTGAATCATCCAAGTTTCAACATTGAGCTACAAGAAAGGAGTTTGAGTTCGCACATTTCACGCAATACGTGTATTGAATGAAAATTCACCTATTACAAGTGAGTGGATTACTTACGGACTAAACTCCATATTTCTGGGCAATCTGTTTGGTATATCAGAGTCTTTATAATATTTATATGGAACATCTTGCAACTTTGAAAATTCTAGAACTTCAGCATTTTGATTATTGTTGTCATACATCGTAGCAACTGCTTCGGCAATGCGCTATGAAAAAACAAAGAATCGTATAATAATGATTCTGCCAATAAATAAAAAATATACCCTCAGTTTTTTTTTCATTACTTAACCTAAATTAATAAATACAACAAAAGAAAAAACCAACAATGTATCTTTAAATCAATCGTAAAAAAAAACATTAATATCACTTGTAGTATTTAGCATAATTAATTAATTGTAATATGACTAGCCCCCTCTATTCATCCAACTTTGTAAAAACAAATACATATAAAACACCTACCCTTGCAGCTTGTTCTTTTTTTGAGAAATAATCCCTAAGACTGCTCTTCACTCGTTGTAGAGTTTCAAAACCATCTTTATGTTCCATGGTGTAGTTGGCTTTGTCGTAGAATGATTGCATATGCGATGTTTTCAATCCATCGCTGGCAAGCTGTCAAAACAAACAATAGCTTACATTCGTACTAATATTCAACAAATTCAAGTTTTGCACAACTGAAAATATGCAATGCACTATGAGAGAAAAATTTCTATTGAATTTAATAGGAAAAATATCATCACACAGAAATTTGCTGCAATATCAAAATTCAAATCAATATCAATATTTTTTTTTCAAATTCTGCTAGTATATCCAATTGGCTGTCATTTTTAAGAACCAAAAAATACATTGTCACAATCAATTGTGCTTGTAGAAACTTGGCATGATGTTAAAAATTACAAGAGATTACCTTTTTTTATTTTGTTTTGCTCAAAAATAATGTACATTCACTTCTTCCCAAGAAAATTTAATTAAACCTGGACTTACTTCTAAAATATAATTCTGTATAACCAGAGCCCAATTCTGAACATCTGCAGCCAATTTCCCTTCTGGCCATTTTTCCTCTTCAATGGTGTACTGAGCATGTGCAAATCTAACCAATGAAACAACAGACAGCAGCAATATGGCTGCCCTAAATTTGCATATATACAATTCCATGCTTCTTATTGGTTAAAGAGTTTGTAAGTATGTAAACGAGAATATTCCAAGCTGGTTTCCAGGAATGATTGCACAACAGCTCAACAACGGTTGCAGTGTTCAAGTATTTTCTTTTTTCTATTCAACTGATCAGATATGCAGTTGCTATGGAGTCTAGTCTCTTGAGCAGATGAGCACTTTGCTATATTGAGTATCAGTTTGACAATAATAGTTTGACAATTAATGTCACACTTTGCATAGATACTGATATAGGTACTGTAAATTCTGGAAGATTAAAATCACACCGCTCTCAGTGACACTACTGATGGATAATGTGTCATCACAAATGATTGATAATATCAGCGTCAGCGCAAAGAAATGGAAATCTGTTTCTTTTATCTCATTCGTAATTCCAGAACCTCAATAGCTTGTAATACTTGTACAGATCCTGATTCTAAAATAAATTAACTTATCAGCCAATCAACTGCTTCTTCAAGGAATCGATTGAAAATATATCAATGTAATATATCAGCGTTCTCTGGACAAAAACGACAAATCGTATTGAGAAAATCCAGATCAATATTATCCACAATTAAATAAAAAATTATTGCTTTTTAGTTTCTGAATGAAAATAATAAAATACGGTTAATGGTCTCACAACACAATTCAGTTTTCAGACAGTGTTGAATTTATATGTTGATGAGTTTATTTAGTGATGAAGTATCTCTCAGGTTTGACAGATCACATATTCAGTAGGAGGGAATATGATATCTTGCAGTGACAAGGTTTACAATGGAGTATGTCTTGTTTAGTTAAATGGATTCTATTAGACAACCCTCGGAAAGAAACATGGCTACATTAGTCATTCAAGTCATGTACTGGACTGTCACTTCATGTAACCAATTAAATAACATGCATCAATGTATGGTCAAACGTTGATCCCAGTCTGTGTTCTGAGAGTCCTATTTGGATGGATGGACGCTATATCATGCAAGATGTCGATATTATTCATGGCAGATATCCGGCTTTCTCACATTAAAGCCTGGCCACTCAGTGCTGGTTTTGAGACAAACATGTTATCACAATATTTCTCGTTTTAAAACAATCCAGGTCCATTAATACAGCTGTGATTTTTAAAATCAAATACGTGCTGAGAATTTCAAGAATAATATCAACCACAGATTACAGACAGATGTAATAATTCCCAACGATTATTCCAGAGACGTAAAGCTATATATTGAAGATTGTAATTTAGCTGTCAGTAATTAGACCACCATTTGCTAAGTAATCCTCCAAGTGATATAATCCTGTTTTGACGACCGGTGTACGTTCTGTTGCACATATATACAAAAAGCACAACTGTATTGATAACATTGCTTGTAACATCATAGAGAAAGCATGACGAGTCGAGATCCAGCTGAACAGTACTCTGATGACCTGCAGATTAGTTTCAGTGGTTGCACCGATGAATCAGTCAAACTGACGCGAAACAAAATTTATTCCTTTTCGATTCTCATAAAATCCTTGAAGATTATCAATTCATGAAAACTTCATGACCTTCACTGTATATGCCGTGCAAATCTAATTTAAATTGAATGATGTTCTATGTCTGGTACTGTTTATCTACGTTTTCACCTCACAACCACCGATGCAGTTAAGTTTTTAAGATGAGGAATGCACAGTGGGTAAGATTTCAATCACAAATCCGGTCAGTTCCATAAAGCAATTTCACCCCCATCAGAAGTCTCCTGTAAAAAAATAAAACCGGTCATTATTTTATTTCTGGAGGTATACTTGATTGCGTTGAAAAAAAATAGGTGATACGAATGGTACATAACGATCTCAGCAGGTGTTTTGAATTGTCATAATAATTGTGCTTCTAAACATAATTTTTCACAATATTTTCCTAAAAAATTAATATATTTTCTAGCCTCAAATATCAACTAAAGTCATAAATTATGAATGTATAAAGTGACAGTCATAAACTTTCTCAAGATATGTCAATGGTTGTGTGTGAAACAAAGCTAGCCATTCCTAAATCACTCTACAAATGTCCCAATTGCATGTCATATAATGACAGGTCAACACTGTCACATGTATACCACATTGCATTATGGGAAAAGGTCAACACAGAAGACATTTGTATCTCCTACTCTCACATGCATATTAAGATTAATGGTTTTTGAGTTGACAGAAAAGCATTTTTACTTGTATAATGGTCAATTATTTTATCCCTGCTCTGAGATCAGCGAAACAAGCTGCACTATCATGTGATCATCATTAAAGTGAAGACAAGTTGTATTGAGACGAGACAATAAATTGTGCAAATATCATTGGAAAATAAATTAAACATTGGTTCCATCTTCATTGACTACACACACAATTAAATTGAAAAATAATTTGGAACTGAAAAACATTTTGTCCCCAAAACTAGCAAATCATGGTGTTTCAACTATTAGGCCAAGAAAAAAAAAATGTTTCTGGTCATCATTTTTTAAAAAACCTTTGACCAGAAACCTTTTTTTTGTGTGTGTGTGAGGCCTCACAATCTTGCCAATTTAGAAATTAGGTATTAAATAATGAATGAAAACCCAGAACTGAATACAAATTCACTCGCTGCCTGTATTAAATTTGTTCTTGAGAATAACAACTGAAACAATAACAAAGTATTAGTCGTTCAATAGTAGACAAAACTGAAATGGGGCGGCCATTTTTAATCAGAACTCAAAACAAGTGCATGTTAACACTGTTGGATGCAGAAATCCTTCTAATATTTAATATTTTTAATTAGAATCCTATTTCGCTTATGTCTTTTTCTCCATATAACCCTCCATATGCAACATAATATTACCCTTACATTGTATCTGTGGTGTGTGCTTACATATATATATAGGATGAGCATTGATATGACATTGTCAAAAAAATGAAAATCAGGTTTTCTGATCAACACGACATTCAAAGCTTCTGATTGGTTAGTGAATTTTGAACATTGTGACCAACCAGATGCATCAAACTTTTATTTGAAATCAGCAAGTGGAATACAGAATACTTGTTGATAACAGCTGTCAACATTTCCTTGTTTATACAAAATTACATGAGAGTCAGGCACTCAATTTAAAATTGTTGATAGTCTATTACGAAAGAATTTGTTCGCATTAGGTCAGGAGTTCAAAGAAAATGTAAAAGTTAAGTAGGAGATAATTAACTTTTTCACCACCAAACTTTTTTGCCCAAATTTGTCTGCACTTGTTTCTTATATTCTTTAGTATATTTATGGAAAGAAACCCTAATTTTGGAGCAGATTTTCAGTTTTTCCTTAAAAATTTGGCTATTTTTGTATTAGTATTACAGAACTATTTTGTGATAGAAAGAGAAAACTGGTGGTGAAAAGAATAATACTAAGAGGTTATACCACAAAGTATACACAAAGAAAGTACAGCAAGACATTCAGATTATCTGCCAGCTTCGTGTCAAGAGTTTGAAGTTGAGAAATTAGCATGATTGGGGAAATTTAGTGGACCGTTTTTTTTTCAAAATGTTTTCAAACATGTACAATGTAAGCTATCTTGAAAATATCGCTTAATCCTTCCATATTTGGAATTCACATTTCCTAATAAGGTAGAGTACCTCTTCTAATTTGAAAAATAACGACATAGAATTACACTGACATCTGTCACGTATAAACAGACAACCCAGGAAAAAAAATTTTTTGAACAAAATACTGCAACTATAAATATTTTATAAACACCTTTCCAGACTCATCATGTATAATTAATTATTTAAACAAGAAATTAAATAGCATACAGAAAATTATTATTTATGATCATTACAAGTTTCCCCGAGGTGATAATTTAACATTTTACGTAGTGAACCATAATTACCTTCCACCCAAGAGTAAGATATCGATTGAAATTCTAGGGCATTACTTGATCATGACTATCCTCGATATCTTTTCTGAAAAAAAAAACATTTTCGGTATTTTTCTGCATATTTTTCTTTGATAATTTTGGACCAAATAGAAATAATTTCCTATTGCCTACAAAAAATTGATCCAAATTTGTGAGAAAATTATGAAAAAAAAATTATGTGGGTTTAAAATTTATGAATGGGGACTAAAGTCGACTTTGATGTTCAAATGGTTAATGATATGCAAATTACCTAATTAATATGCACAAACGATATATAGAACTATTTCGTGAATAGTGACAAAAGTTGATTTTGATGCTCAATAGGTTAATGAGATGCAAATGACGTTAATGATATGCAAATGAACCTAATTAATATGCACATATGGTATATACAACTATTTTGTGAATGGTGACAAAAGTTGATTTTGATGCTCAAAGGGCTTAATGATATGCAAATTACCTAATTAATATGCACATACAGTATATAGAACTATTTTGTGAATGGTGACAAAAGTTGATTTTGATGCTCAAAGGGTTAATGATATGCAAATTACCTAATTAATATGCACAAACAGTACATAGAATTATTTTGTGAATGGTGACTTCAGTCGACTTTGATGCTCAAAGGGGTTAACATATCTGTGGGTTAAATAATCCAGTTAAGATTACATCAGATAAATATTACCTTATTATGAATATGAGAATCATATATATTTCTATTAATTTTTCAGATATTGATTGGATTAAATATGTATTAACATTTAAATCATTTATGTATGAATTTCGAAAAATTATTTATTAACATAATTTTAATTATAAATTTCTTTCTCAATTATTGATTTATTTATTTCATTATTTCATCAAGGCCATCAGAGTTGTTATGCTCTGCTTATTTCATTATCTTCATTTTTATGCCTTTTAAACTTTCATGTACAACAGTCAGTTTATCATGCATAACCAGTTCCCTCTTTTCATCACAAATTCACAAAGTAGTTCTGTTTATAGTCTGCACTTTCTTTCAGAAGATTGGGATAAAAAAGGACAAATTTTTTGAGTAAAAATTGAAACTTGACACAAATTTACTCTGTTGGCTACAGAAATATTGAAGAATAAAGTGCAGAAAAATTTGGGCAAGAAAGTCTGGTGGTGAAAAGGTTAAAATACAACCATTTTTCACATGTATCATACAATAGCAATGACATAAAGCCATGCAATATTTAAGCAATAACCCCCGCCGAAGTTGGGTATACCACTTGATATTACCACTTGATATATATTCCAATATGTATATATAGAGGCATACAAACA